TGGTAGGAAAGAGTACATAATATTGAACCTTTATATCTACTCATCCCCCCATGACAGGTCATCTGTCTAAAAGAACATGCAGCTCTTCTGCTCAGAGCTTTTCTGTTCAGCCCAGAGGGGCTGAGGAAGAGGTGGTATAAAGTAGCTTTTATTTCATTAGTGATTAGTCACCTCTGGTTTTTCTGATCAAGTTGCTCCTGGAAAGATTATCACTAGTACTCTGATAATTACAGTCAGAAGTAGTTTCTCAGTTTCCTCACTTTCTGGTGACAAAGGAGAGAAAGCTCCAAGTGGGTGCATCTTCAACCACAGGAAATGAGTGCCCAGTCTGCTTCCTGAGGAGGGGTATGCTCTAGTGAAAAGATGACAGGATCCCAGAGCCAGCTGGAACTTGCACAACATAGCTTTTCTTTCTGTTTCTGAGAATTTCTGCACTCTAGCTTCCTGCTGTGTAAAATGACCCCAATAAGTTTTACCTTGGAGTGTCATGGCACAGAAAAAAAGATAATACAAATAGTTAACAAATATTGAGATTATACACCAGGCCAGGCTCTGTGCTTTGTCTTTTGTGATTCAAACTCCTGATAAGTTTTCAGATAGACTTTATTATTTTCCTGTCCCAAGTGAAGACATGGGTTGGAGTGATTGAATATGTAAGATGTAAATTATTTTTGCTACATCTGGATTTGCATAAACTGAAATTAAGATGTTTGATAGAGTATGAGCAACATGCTGCTGCTTTCTATGCAAATATGGTGCTGACTACTAAAGACAGGAGATTCTGGGAGCAGCACAAGTCTTCCACCATGTGCCCTGCTGTAGCTTAATTTTCCTGTCACTTTTCTCCACAGGAACTACTGTAAAGCCCTTTGTCTTGAAGCTTGTGATGTCACTGGCTTGCATTTGGTTGAAAAGCAGGATTTCCATATTAAATTCACATTCATCTGAGGTGCAGAGTGCTCCCTGGTGCCAACACATTCAGAAAAGCAATTACCAGATGGGCATTTTACCAAAAATAAGTGGTGGACAGAAAGTTTGAAAGGAAAGCAAGGTTTTTTGGCTCTATTAACTTAGAAAGTTGTTATCCAAATGATTGAAAATAGGCTTGTATTCCTGTCAAAAAGATGATTGCTTAATGGAGATGCAACTTGTATATGTTCTGCTCGGAATGCTCATACCATCAGGAGTGCATTGCAAAGCTCAGTCACCGAGGGCCCCTTCCTGGGAAAAGGTGATCTTCCCAGTGTTGATCTCCACAATGGGAGGGGCAGAGAAGAGCTCTGCTGCAGTGAGGGTGTGCCAAGCACTCTCAAATTATTATTCATTTCATGATATGTTTAACTAAATTACTTGAATACGTAACATTCACATGGTCCAAATTTTTAAAAGTATTCAGAAGATATTTGATGTATAAATGAATAGGTTTATACACTGTACAAGAATTGGTTAACATTTGGGGTACTTTTCATCTGTCTGCCAGTCAAAAATGTGCATAACCTTAAAATGGGATGTAGAAAATACAGATGATTATTTTCTTCTGTTTCTTGTCACATTTAGCTTCAAATTCCAGTGAGCAATTTTTCAGAAGTATGAGCAAGCAAATGTGACCCGCCTCGGTAGATGCATGTCAGTCTGGCCTGGGGTGCAGAAGCTGAGGTGCGGATGGGTCCTTCTCGATATTGAAGAGAAGACGCATGATGAGTTGGAATGGGTGGGCCTTTGGTCAGTCAGAAGCATCTTACTGGGTAGTGCAAGAGTTTAGTGTACTGAATCCAGGAATTGGATTTGTGTGTCGGAGAGAACAGATGTGAAGGGCTAAGCCAAATGACTGTGCGAGTTTTCCACATCTGTCCCTTAATTTTCTGTATTTTTGCTTCATTATCTGCATCGTTGGAATGCTGTATCTATCATGTGCCAACAGATGGCAATATTATAAGATCTTTTTAAAAGATGGTTAAAATGAATGACATTCTTGGCTGTTCCCAGATTAGTCAGCAGAAGCACCAGGATCTTTATTAGTGAGCTCTTCAGTATTACAAAGTTTTTCTCCAATTTTTCATTAAATATTAGGATAGCTTTTATTCACATCACCACTTTCTCCTTACTTTTAACTTGGTATCAAAAGAATTTTTGCATAAATCTTCTATATCTGCTAATATAGGAGCAAAGTATATTACTAATAGTATAAATATGATTACAAAGTAGTACTAAGTATTTAATATGCCTAAAGTTTTAAACATGTGAAACAATTTGAAAATTGCTTCTGTTATTTAGAGAACAGAAGATAAGTGGATCATAGCATATTGTCTTCTTGCTGTTTTTTAAAGTCAATTTTAGACTTGAAGAAGCATTTTTATATTTAATCTGTGCATTTGTTTAAAATTTGTAAACTTCTTTGGAAATTGCATGCTGTGTTTTGGATTTAGCTTCTCTTCTTAGTTAAGAGTCCTGTACAATCTGACCCCCTGACTGAACTTTTAAAGACATTTGAGCATCTCTGAGTTCCTGCTGTTGGGAAAAACTTTAAGCAAAAGGCCTAAAGTGTGAAAGAAATGAAATTGAACCTGTTTTGCGGCCTGGAGGACCAGAACTCTAATCTTGTGTCAGTTTTACCAGAGCTGGTCATCTGTTACTTTTCTGGTCCTTTTCCCTTTCCCAGCTATCTCCTGGGACTAGGGAGCGTGTCATGAGCTATTTCTACCTTGGAGATGCAGTCACTATCGGTCAATAGATTTTCTAACATGGCTGTATATCAGAAAGTTCAAATATGTGTCCAGGCCTAATGGAACTTGGAATGCCCCATTCTTAGATTTTAGCTGCCTGCTAAAATCACTTAATCCCTATTGATATTTCAAATTCCCAAGATGGAGCAGGCTTGTTTAGTGTAATTTGTTTCCCACAGGGTGCAGTCTAGTAAACTTCCACACTGAGTTCTTTAGTATCTGAGCTTAGAGAAATACTTCACTAGAAAAGCTTTCAGAAATTTTGGATATTCATCACTCATTTGAAGATTTTTTTTTTTTTTTTTTTTTTTTTTTCGGAACTGGGCCCTTGTGCTTGCCAGGCAAGCACTTACTCTACTGAGCCATCTCCCTGGCCCCCAGAGGAAAGATTTTTTTCTTTTTTTTCCAGAACCGGGTATTGAACTCAGGCCCTTGCGCTTACCAGGTAAGTGCTTATTCTACTTAGCTATTTCCCACCTCCCTTTCATTTGAAGATTTATGGAGCTTACTAATATAGTGAAATCTCAGAGAAGACTCAAAGAATGAATTGGTTTTGACTCCATTTAACCGGTCATTTTCCAAGCTTATTCCATAATGAAACCCTTTAAAATGTCACCCTGTTTTCTCAGCATCCTGAGGAAGTAGTGCCCTGAGAAGTACAGCTTAGTAGCCATTTTATGTTTTCCTTTCCTATATCCACTTTGAAAATTGGGCAAGCTATGCATTCAGTCACATGCACAGATATGAAACAGACGGCTTGATATGTGATACCTGAGTAAGTACCACCAAGTTAAAAAAGTGGGGCATATTCTGTGGTTTTACTTATATAAAATTTAGGACTAGACAAAATCAATCTCTGGCTATGGGAATTAAAATATTGATTACCGTCTTAGCCATGATGTATTACTATAAGAGCATACTTGAAGCTTGGTTGTTTATAAGGAAAGGAGTTTCTTGAGCTCACAGTCCTGAAGGATCAAGAGCACCGTATCAGCCTCGGCCCTGCGGAGGGCTTCAGAGGGAATAGCATTACAGTGGTAGAAACCTGTGAGAAAGAGGTCACATGGAAATACAGGGAACAAGAGAGCAAAGAGGAGGCAGACTTACTAGCTTTGTGGTAACCTGCTCTGCTGAGCTAGCTCCAGGAGACCAGCATGGATCCCCTCCAAGGACTGCCCCCATGCACCACCACCTTCCATGCAGCTCCCCCTCCATCAGGCCTACGCCAGGGACAAAGCTTCCAGCATGTGAACTTTGGGAGACAAACCACATCCAAACCACACAACCTACCTAAGGGTCAGGTATGGAAAGTGGGTGAGGAAGCAAGATAGTGTGGCGAGGGAACTGCAGACAGCCAAGGGTTCTGGATCTCTCCCATCCTCTTCCCATTCCCACTTACAGAGTCTTTATGATACTGAGGTTGGAAGCCTCCAGGCCTTCTGTTCCCATGACACCTCTTTGGGATTAAGCCTCTGCTATACCTGGACTGTGCTCCTCTCACTTCTTAGACCTCTCTTCTGCATCACTGTACTGATACTTTGCACATCTTTGCAGTCAGGAGATGTCACTTGTAACTAGAACTGAATTCAAATCTCTTTTCTTACACAGCTCATGTCCTGTGTTTGCTCCACTTATACTTACCTCACTGTGCTGTCTTGGCCTGTTTATGGAGCTCATTTTCTGGCGGGCAAATATCTTGATTTGTGTTCTTCCTCAAATACATAGATGACCTACTTTTTTTTTTAAAAAATGAGTCTAAAACATTATAATGAATCATCCTACCTTCTGTCTTGTTCAAAACTTTTCTCCATACTCAAGTCTAAGGCCTTTCTTTCTTTCTTTCTTTCTTTCTTTCTTTCTTTCTTTCTTTCTTTTTTTACCAGTAAACTGAGGTCTTGATAGGGCAGCAAGCCAGGCCTAGGGGACATCCAGGGCTGTGGCAGGCATGAGGGAAAAAGCCACTTTTGGCAGGGGGAATCAACACCAGGCTGCACTCAAGAACCGGTCCAGCTAGCGCCTGCTCACTAGACTGTAGACAGAGAACCCAAGAACCTGGCATAATCTGGGTACCAGCTGCAAAGTCAAATTCATTGGGCAAAGGAGAAGGTGGCATGGGGCAACCCATCTCATCCTGGGGTCAGAAAGGTGCAGGGCATTCCTAGAATATGGAGAACACACAGCTTACTGTCCCAGCCACCAGGCACTGCAGGAAGTCTGGCTCCTCCTTCCCAGCATCTCCTTCCAGTGCAGAGCCCAAGAGAAGGAGGAAGCCCAGCCATGCCCATCAGCACCCACAGCCCCAGCTCTCCTCAATGTCCTTGCTATCCAGTTGGACGAGGTAGGTGCTTTTCTCGCTGAACATGGGGCCTCCATGTCTCATGATGAGCTCAGTGGCAACCTGCACAAAGGCCTCCTCCACATTGCTTGAGTCCTTGGCAGATGTCTCAGTGGCACACAAGATGTCATAGTGCTCAGCCAGGCTCTGTGACTCAGCCAGCTGGACCTCCTGAAGCTCAGCCAGGTCAGACTTGTTCCCAATCAGCAGCTGTACAATGCTGGAGCCCGCGTACTTTCTCACATCCTCAATCCAATGGGGCACTGATAGGAAGGTGCTCCTCTTCGTGATGTCGTAGGCAAGGATGGCCCCATTGGCACTGCAGTAGTAGCTCTGGGTAACGGTGTGGAACCGTTCCTGGCCAGTTGTGTCCCAGATCTGCAGCTTGACCCTCTTGCCCTGGATCTCCAGCATCTTCATGGTGAAGACCACGCTGATAGTGCTGCCCTGGCGCTCCGAGAAGGCGCCAGTCTTGAAGCGCTGCACCACGTACGTCTTGCCCACGCTCGCGTAGCCCACCAGCACCAGCTTGAACAGGAAGTCATAGTGCTCGTCCGGGTCCCCCTGCCTGGGCCCCGCTATAGCTCCGCACGCTGCCCCTGGCTTGGGCTCCGTGCGCTCCAGCCCACTGGCCCTGTCGCGACGTCGAGTCGAGGCGACAGCTGAACTGGTGCAGGCCGCTGTCCGTGCCTCTGCCCCACCCCGGCCAGCCCGGAGCCTTGGGGCTCATCCCTGCCCGCCTCGCCTGGCCCAAAGCGGCTCGACCCGGCCCGACTCTCCACAACCCTCCGCGTCTGCCTGTGGTCTGCGCTCAGCTCCCTTCAGGCTGGCTAAGGCTTTTCTAAACTCGAGACCTGTGCCTGTTACTGTTCTTGTCAGTGATCCCCAAAAGCCTCCTGGGCTTCTGGAATGGAGCCTGGACCTCTCTCCATGTAGAGGATCACATGAGCTCCCCCTGCTCTCCCACATAAAGTGCGCATCCTTTTTTGTCACTTTCTGCCCAGGAACCCCAGGCCTTGCTACCCTCAAACATCTCAGGTCCTCACATGCTTCCAGGCCTCAGCCATGCGTTCCCTCTGCTTCTCAGGCCTCCTTTCAGGCTTTTCAAAGTCAGTTAAATATTCATTCACTCCACAAGTTAATGCTTTCTGCTGATTCCCAGGGACTATGTATTTCCTGGGATACGGAGAGGAGCGAGATGGGTGAGCACCTTGCTCTCATAGAACCGACATTTCAGCACCAAAGAAGTAACCAAATAATTAACCAAACAAAGTTATTAACAATTTTTGGAAAATATAAGTGATTTATACATGAAAGATTAACACTACAGTGTGTTCTTCTTAATACAAACATCATGGACAGATATTTTAATCAACATCATCTTATTGGCTTTATTAGATTTTAACATTAAGTTCTGGGACCTCTCACATCCCATCTTTTGCATGATGATTCTTTCAGTGGTTTAAAAAGCGTTTTACAGCCCATTTCTTTCTGTTCTTTTTTTTTTTTTTTTTTTTTTAATGACACAATTTTTCTATGTAGTCTAGACTAGTTTTGAACTCACTATGTATTCCCAGGCTGGCCTCAAACTCACAGGGCTGTGATTATAGGCCTATGCCACCAGGCCGAGCATAGAGCTTATTTCTAATAATATTGTACAATATTTTTAATATAAGAAAGCACAAATATATTAGATTTAAAGGAGGTTAGCTATAAATTCATGCAATAGACATCATTTCAAGGTTTTAATCACCTCTTTTAAAGTAGAAACTCCAAGAGAAAATGTGATGTGCTGAAAAGGCAGGTATGTCAAGGAGCAGTAGTTCTGTTTCAGTGTCTAACTCTTCTGTTACCTCACTACCTGACCTTGAATAATTCTCTTAGCTCACTGTATTGATCTAAAAAGAGACATTTGATGCAAAAAAATCTGAGGTCTGTGCCATTGCTAAAATTTTATGTTTCACTGCAGCAAACAGGGATAGATGTCTTACTTCAAGGAAACCTTGTTTATGAAAATTTAGCTATGGTTATTTCAGTAAGTGAAGTTTACCATAGTTTCTCCCCACTGCTCTTGTAGGCTGGCTGGGAGAGGTGCGCTGCAGGGCCGAGTGGCACTGTCTTTGAGAAGAGCTCAGCTGGGAAGGCGGTGCCTCCACGATCAGCCGAGTCAGACTCCAGGTCAGCTGGAAGGCAGAAATGCCAGCGCGGTCGACTCGTGGGCTTCCACCCGGGTGCGCTTGCGCTTTGTTGCTCTCTAAGCGTGGATGGCCATTTCAACAGGTTTGCATGGACTGCTCCCTCATGGAGTCTCCTCAAAAATCACCCAACTGTCTCCTCACGTGACCTACCCTCCTCCTTGGCCCCATAATCTTCTTTCTCTTTTGTTGCTTCATTTTGTTGTCTTTAGTATTGACTTAGTCTCTTTGAGTTAGAGTGTAAAGAGTTTTACACACACACATGCAGTCATACATCGTATCTCCATCCTCAGGGACTGAGCACATAAATACACAACACTTTTGCTTCAGTTTAAGATCTTATTTGTTCTTTAAAAAAAAAATATATATATATAGATAAAAAATGATGTTCTGCTAGTCAATGTATCAGGTCCATTAAACTATCTTAATTCACATGACCTCTCCAGAGGTAAAGCAGCAGATGCTTTCTTCCCAGATCATACACTTATCAATGTATACACATGAAAGCGGCAAGCTGAGCTCCTGATGGAGCAGCGCTCGGAGAGACAAGCCAGTGGAGAGCTTAGCTCACTCTGAAAGTGAGGAGGACGTGGGGCTCACTGTGGAAAAACTGAGCTTCCATCGGGATGAAAGATTCAGATGTCCCAGATTTTCTGTTTGGATAATGTCCTGAGGTCCCTTTTATAGTCCCTGGAGAGGACACTTGGCAGAAATTCAGCTCAATCAAATTATGCTCAGAGAGGGAACAGTGACATCATATCTTCCATTGTACCCATCTGTCCCCAGCAGAGGACTGCATGTGAACTAAGAGTACCCTGGCTACAGCAGGGAGGGGGAATGAAAGGAATTAAACTGCTAATGCCTTTGGTCTTTCTTCACTGGTACAACAAATAGCCCTCTGTTCCTTCAACAAATGATGGATTTAAGAATGCTTAGTTTTGTTAGTATAGGAGATGAAGTAGTGATAGTGTTAGTTCATTTTTAATTACCCTGACTAATCCAGATGTGACTGTAGAGAGTAATGCATGCTACTTTATGCTATAAATCTCTCCCTTTGAAGTGATATACAAGAGTCAGATTTGAAATGTAGTAAGAAATAAATAGAAGAAACATCTAGAATTTTACTATTGGTTTGTATCCTGGAAAATTTCCAAGCATTTTTACATATATGGATTTATTCATTTATTCCACAAGCACTTACGGAACACTATTTATATGCCCTGAGTAATGCACATGGATAAGCTGCACAAGAGAGACAAGAACTGGGTTTATAGTTTCGGAAGGGAGATGGTAATGAACTACCACTATTAACTAGAAGAAGCCTGCTGATCTAGACTTGCGGTGACTGAGGAGAAGGGTCTGTGAAGTGCTGTGCAGGCACAGGTCCTGGGCCAGAGCCTGGAAGGCCAGGGTGGAATTCAGGTCTCATCATCAGAGCTCTGCAAGCCACTGAAGCGTTTTAAGTAAGAAAGTGATAGGATTTAATTTGTGACTCTTACTTCTCCTTCCTGGTTGTCTTTAAGAGAAAATCCCTCATATAATACATTTACATTTGGGTCTTTATTTTTTCTTTTCTTTTTATATTTACTTAGATCATGACTTATGTGGTGAGTAAAGCAGCTGTTTGCTGCAGGGAGGATAAATACTCACCAATGGACTCTTTAGCCGGCATAATGGTAAGAGAATCCTTGAGTAGGTGGTGAAGCAGGGTTTGAATCTTAACTCCTGCACTAATTATTTGTGAAAAGTTTGAACAAACCATACATATTTTCTGTTTCTTCAATTTTAAAATAAAGGAGTATCAGAACACTGACAAAATATTGATCAGCTGAAAAATTGTATAGTGCTTTTACAAGAGATATTAAGATACTCCTAGCAAGTTTTTAACAAATATAAAAATATTGAAACCCACTTTTGCCTTTACTCTCTATTACTGGGTTAAGCTATACTCACATAAGTTTATCTACAGATATAAATCTCTATTCTCTTGACTTCTCCACTGCCTCCAAATTTCAAAATATTTTTGTATTCATTTATGTGATCAGAAGCATGAAAGTTTTTAAAAATTACCAAGATGGAGTCACTCATGTTCAAGTCTAACAAAATGGAGTTAGGAAGGGCACTCATGTAAGTATACCTGTGTTAACAGTGACTACACAAGCTACCTGAGACTACAACCTTGCAGAAAGCCCACCACAACCTCGAGCAAACATTATTTCTGGAAGGATGCCTGTCTAGTAACTGACTGTTCCTGTAGTGGATGTGAACCTTCCTCAGTATTAATACTTATAACCAGCGGTAATTGTTTCAAAAACAGTTATATCACCCTTCTCATGTTGTCCTCAGTTCTCTTGCCTTCCTTTGCAATGCAAGATTTATTCATGGTCTAACATGTCAGGTGTATCCTGGAGAACAGCTCCATGAGATTCCAGAATACACTGTGTTTCAGAGAGCCATTCTCTTTGCTGTTTATCTTAGGTTGATATCTTAAAGGAGGTATCTCAGTCCATTTTCTGTTTTGGTAACTGAATATGACAGTCTAGGTAATTTATAGAGAGTAAAGCTTTATTCATCTCATGATTCTGGAGGGTACATAGGTCTAGCACTGAGGAAGGCCTAGTGAAGGCCTTCTTGGTCATGGAAACTTCACAGAGTTCCAAGAGGGGGCATGGCATCCCATGCTATGAGAGGTACATGCATGGAACAGCCAAACTATAACAGACCAATTAGTGAAATAACCTACTCATCCATCCATGAGGACAGAGTTCTCCTAACCTAATCATGTCTTAAAGAAACTGCTGTAGTCCCACCTCTTAATAGCTCACAGTGGGGATTAAATTTACATTTTGGAGTTTTGGTGGGAGCATTAAAACTGTAGCATGAGCTGTTCTCTTTTGTTTTGGATCAAGCTTCATGATGTATTGATAGAATTTGGCTGTTGGCCAAGACTTATAGCTAATTGGCATGCTGGTTAATTAGGAGAAACACAACAACTTGTGTTATTAAATGGTGCCATGTCAGGTTTAATGGCTTTGTGAGTAGGGTTACCTCTCAGATCAGTTTTTGAATCTTTGACACACAGAGTTGTTATGAGGGTCTGTCTTGAGGTAAGCCTAAGCTTCAGCCATACATTGGGTAAGACAAGAGAAAGACCACCTACCATTTTCTCCTTGGCTTGAGGGTCATCAGACAATTTGGGCTTTGACCTGTTGCCTGCTATATCTGCTTCTCTTTCCCCAGGTCAGTGGTATGGACCAATTCAACTTAGTAACAAATACATTTCACATTTTGAAAATCTGCAAAATTTTCTTGTGCATGATTAATCCTGAAAATTGGCATTTAGACATAGCAGGGGACACATTCACAGCTTTGAATTAGGTTTTCATTTTGTCAAGCAGTACACATCCCCTCTCTCCTCCAGAGCAGTTTAGAGGATGTTCTTTAAAGGCTGTATTTATTGAAAAAAATATAGAGTCAGGGACCAGATTTTAATTCTATTAACTTCCTTATGCAATGGATGTGCAAAAGTGAAATATTGACTAAGTGTATCTATAAAAGCTAGAAATTTGGAGGCTAATGTTTTCTAAGCAATAACTATTCTAAATATTCTTTACTCCTTGGATTAGCTATTAATTTAGACTGGAGGCCCATTTTGTATTTCCCATTTGCCCATGTGGTTGGTTTATAAACAGTTTGTTTATAGAAGCTATATGTCTTGTTTTTAAATAAGATTGTGGTATTATTATTGCCCATGGCAATCTCCTACCTAATTTAATAATTCTCATGGTGCAGTTTCTTTAATTGAATTGTGTGAGTTGTAGACAATGAGAGAGACTCACAGCTACCTGTTGTTCCAGAGCCCTGCCCACTGCCTCCTAGCACGAAGCTGAGGTTTACAGAGGGATCACTCGGTAAACAAGAATATAAGGAAGCGCACACAGAGGCCAATGGGGACTACTAAAGGCTTGGGTAATGTAATAATGTCACACATAGCTCTGGGTGTACAAACTGCAGAGTTATGCAAGTAATTAATAGTGTCTTGCCAAGAGAGTCGGTAGGCTTTTCAAAAGGAATCTTTCTTTGTGTCTTTTGATATTTAAAGAGCTGTAATTACAATGGCAGAGCTTGAATTCCTTTTTTTCCCTCATGCTCTTATACACATTAATTTATGGACCAATCCAGTATTACAGACAAGCTAATGAAAGAACTACACACTCTCTTTATCATTTTTTTTTTTTTTTACAGTTTCACTTGTGTGGATGAATGTAAAGTAGTTAATGCTATAAATAAGTATAATGATGTATCTCTTCTCTCAATTGCCAGTTGTTGATGCTGTAGTCTTACACAATGGAAGAAAAGAATTGAATTTAAATCTCTACTCATCTTGCTTTCTTCCTCTCTTGTGCACCAGTTAAGAAATTTAAATGCTTCTGCCATTAGAAGTTATTAAAAAAGACTCAAGCTGGATTTTTCCCCTCCTCTTTATTTTTAGAGTAGAAAAAATTATGTAACTTTAGTATTCAGCTTAAGCTTTACTTGTTTTAAGATTTAGCATCTTAGCTCCTCAGTACAATCTCTTTGCATTGGCTAGGGGTGAGAAGGTATAGCCTGTGACAAATCCGTGTGGATCCCTGGACTTCAGTACACCACGTGGTGGGAAACACAGACAGTGAGTCTTCAAATGTTCCCAAAGTTAGTTCAGCTTCTCAGAGAATACTTGATAGCATATATTATCAGTATATCTGAATATACTCCCTGAGGGGTGTGTGTGTGTGTGTATGTGTGTGTGTGTGGCCAGCTTAGCCCACCCTGGGGTCAGAGCTGGCATGGCATGTAGTGCCAGGGATTGAACTGAGGTTCCTGTGCTTTGCATAAGCTTGCCTAAGCAGGTGCTTTAGAATGCTGAGCTACCTGGCCAGCCCTCCCTGAGATTTTTGAATGTTCCTTTTAAGAGTTTGAAATGAGTTTTGCTTTTTTTTTTTTTTTTTTAAAAAAGCCTTTTTTTTTTTTTTTTTTTTTTGTCTTTTCTATATCTACAGGTATAAAGTTTGTTAAACCATTTTTACCTAATAGCCTCTTGAGTATAAGGACAAGGACAGACTAAATTAGTCCATTTATTTTCACTACAACAAAATACCCAAGGCTGGGTAATGTATGAAAAGGTTTAGTTAGCTGAGACTTTTGGAGGCTGAAAATTAGGTCAGGTGTCTCTGTGGCCTGTGGTGAGGAACACCCCAGTGGTAGAAGCACCAGAGAGAAAGACCATAGGAGAGCAGAAATAGAGTGAAGAAGCTAGAGGAAGGTGCCTGAGTCATTTGTTTTGTCACTGAGACACAATACCTGACACTCACAAATTAAAGAAGTTTACTTTGGCTCAGTTTCCAAAGTCTCAGTTCTTTCAGTCACCAAAAGAACTGGTGGGCACCAGCTGGAAGGGCTTTCTGGGAGGAGAGCTGCTCAAGGCATGGTAGATGGGAAGCAGGACATGAAGGGACAGCTGGGGGCTACACACACCCAGTGGCTTGCCTCCTCTCATCCTGATACAGTGCCCTCGTGAGCCAGTGCTCTGCTAGAAGCCTGTTTGTGAGTGCGTGAGGCTTTGCGAGTGCATTTCAGATCCAAACCAAAACCAGGGACCAGAATTGCTGTTTTATAACAACCCTTTTTGAGAAGAATTGCCTTAATTTCTTCTGAGTATAGCACTCACAGTGACTTATTAGACTCCTCCTCCTAAGGTCTTATCACCTTTACTTCAACACATGAACTCCACGCAAATGGAACAGCATGAGGCAGAGACCAGTGAGGTCTGCCAGCCTTATGTAAATGCAACACGGCCTGGAATATACTGTGCCTGAGTGCAGGCAAGCAGAGGGCCAAAAGCCATCTGTCGGAAGCAAAGAGAGGTAGGCTTTTTTATGGGCTTGAAAGAAGGCAAGGGATAGAAGTGGGAACATCTTAGTAAAAATCAGTGTTCAGAATTCTCTGGATGTCTCGTGCCTCACTGCACAAAGGCATTGAAATGTTTGGGTGTATTCAGTGTATGGGAGATTCCATGCTCCATCTTATCTCTTTATGACATCCCATGTTTGCTGAGGGCACCCGTCCTACATTGAGAACAGTGGCTAGATTGTGTAGCACTTAGTTCTTGGGACTTAATAACACAGTACAAAATACCAACATCATGAATACCAATTGTCTTATTCTACTTATGTGTTCCCTCTGTGACCTTAGAACCTCAGGGACCTGTAAATCATTGTCCATTTCAATGACATCAGTCAGTGTAGCTGGGTCAATTGTGATAGTCATTTTAATGATTTCTCAGTTTGTTGACTCTTTTAAACTAATTTTCTTGAGGTCAAAGGCCTTGTATGTTTAATTTTCTCTTTATAGTGCCTGGAGAACTTCATACAAACTGTTGAGAGTATGTGAACCTCACTGAACTCCAGTTGCAATATAGAATCCTTTTACATAACCAACATTTTCTGCCGTAGTCCTGACATTGTGTTTGCAATTGCTTCAGGCACCAATTCCGAAAGGCAGCCATTAAACCTAAGCCATATGAACAATGAGAAGACTTTTTTTTTTTTTTTTTTGAGAAAAATAAAACCCGCACCATAGATACAATTTAATGCAAGTTTAACTTATGCATAATGTTTTAGACAACAACTATAA